GGATTTAAGAACATCACTTGTTCGACCTGTTAGTCAAATGCGTTTTGTTAAAATATATTTTTTCATGTTTTGGTCTTTTGGAAAATGTTGTTTGTGCTGTATTTAGACCCCTCTACCAAGAAATTTGTTTTGCATGCATACGTATAAAAATAACGGTTTTTATCCAACGCAATCATAGGTTTGAACGTTGTTTTCAATTTAGAGTTGTTCATATATATTAATATGTATATATATATAATAAGTACGTCTGAACCAGTGACAATTGTACGACATATTTCATCCATCGGATCACCAGTGATGGTGATACAAGGCTGAAAACACATTCTGTATATATAATTCGTCTAAACATCAGCCCAACAATGTTAGATCTGTAAATTTGCAAAAGGAAATGTTTTGTTCTTCCCTGGCCTGGATTCGAACTCATGCTACTGAGATATCGTGGCACTAAATCGCCTTGCACTGTGCCTGACGCGCTAGACCATTTGACCACCTAGGCTCTACAATAATAAAGCTTTCGGTGGCCGGGTGTAACTTTTCATCGTCGGTTTTTATCTAGGGTCGTAACACAGTACATGATATATAAGGCATGAAGATAGAATTCTTACAGATCAGCTCAATTATCTACCGTACAGGATCTTACAAAATAATGCAGGATGCAGTCACAAAAATAATTATATTATAAGTACGTCTGAACCAGTGACAACTCTGCGACAGATTTCATCCATCGGATCACCAGTGATGGTGATACAAGGCTGAAAACACATTCTGTATATATAATTCGTCTAAACATCAGCCCAACAATGTTAGATCTGTAAATATATATATAATATATGATCCGTTCATCCTATTTCGACTCTTCAAAATTCAAGAGTCAATCCCAAATTGAGGTAAATTATATGGCCTTCCAAATACCGTTTCGATTCCTAACATCACTGAAGAGACATTAATTGTCGAAATCCGGATATGGTGTACAAATTTTTGCACCTCATGTTTGCGGTATACCATCTTTTCCGCAAGTTTTTTGTTTTCTATTTGGTATTAGATTAAAATTAAGATCCATTTTGTTACATCTGTGATCCGTTTATTTGGCAATCGCCATGGCAGTCAGCAGGGTTTAAGAACATCCGTTGTTCGACCTGCTAGTCAAATGCGTTTTGTTAAAATATACTTTTTCACTTTTTGGTCTTTTGGAAAATGTTGTTTGTGCTGTATTTAGACCCCTCTATCAAGAAATTTGTTTTTGCATGCACACGTATAAAAATTGCGGTTTTTATCCAACGCAATCATAGGTTTGAACGTTGTTTTCAATTTAGACTTGTATATATATATATATATATATACATATAAATACAAAGGAAATGCTCGTTTTTTAAAGGCAGTGCTTTAATGCCTTTCTAGTTGCCGGGTTAATCCTTCCTTCCGCGATATCCAACTTATCTACGTGGGGGGGGTCATTAGGCTCCAAGTAGATCCGGAAATGTTGAATTCTCTCCTCTTCTTATTGTGATATAAAATGTTTTTTGTTTCATTTCATTTACATTGGGAAATAGAGAAACGATCATTGTGTTTTGTTAGTTTTAAAAACTTTTGATATATTTGTATTTTGCATTATAAGCAGTCAACCGATTGACAAACTAGAATTATTTGAATTCCGTGTGGAAAGAGCTCGGGTTAATTTCGAGTGTTATCTGTAATCTAGATGTTTATAAATCATTTCAGTCGTTGATATAATAATTAAGAGTCGACTGAACATTAATTATATTATACAATTTAAGCGCATTTCTGTTTATGCACGTGAACCCGTCTAACGTTATTGTTATTTCGCAGTTATATAAAGTAGCAAATTATCGTTCCTGAATAGGTGGCGCCGTGGTAGCCGATCCTGTTCCTCAACTTCCGGTTTCTGCACTGTGCAACTATTTCAGTTACATTTTAAATTAACGATGCCAAGTACTTGTTGTTGTGTACCTGGATGTCATTTAAGAGAAGGACATGCATTTCCAAATGACTTAAAAAGAAGGAAAAGTTGGATCAACGCCATGGCCCAAACGCAGATTGGACGAGAACACGATTTCATCGTGGAGTCCATCTCAATCAGCTGTTGTTTGCAAGGCACATTTTACTGAAAAAGACTACGTGCAGGAAACTATTCATGGTAAAACTCTATTTTCTTTTTGAAATATATAGTTATATATGTAATCGCCATGCGAATAAACCAAAGCCTGTTTACAACCGCAATTATCGTTTTAGAATAAAAGGGGGTGGTTAATTCAAGGACGTATAACTAACAAGGATTCGTGTCTCGCGGTATCTCGTTAAAATATCGCAAATCGTGAGATTTGGATTTACTCACTACTACAATTATGCGCGCTTCAAATAAATATTTCCGGCTAGTTACGATAATGTAAACAGCTAGAACTCCTACAGTCTCGATCGTCATGACAGAAATTCTCTGTTTTGATTTAACTTTTGTTAATTATCTTCGATGTTCAAAAACAAAAGAAACAAATATAAAAAAATTATTTTCTATCAAATATGTCTTACAGGGCCGTTAAAATCGTATAAATTTCAACGTTTTAACATTTTTATTATTGAATAGTAAATGTCTTCTAGAAACAATGATTGATTTGAATAACCCTTATTTAGTTTGAGCATTTAACTTTGCATTCCTAATTCCTGTGATGATTTATAATTAATTATAATAAAGAATAAAGTAGTCCTGATTGTATGTTGTTCATTTAATGAGCTTGTGCGGTATTTCTACTTTTAAACCGATTGTAAGTTGTTTATTTAATGAGCTTGTGTGGTTTCCTTTGTACTATTCAATTTAGAAAAGCTATGACCCAAACTACACTAAACGAGTCATTGTCTACTTTCAAAATGACCAAAGCTGATTTGAGAAAATTAATCTTGAGAAATATACACGAGTATGTCATAAAAAGAACGAGTTGCAATATCTGCTATTTACTTTTCGATTTGAACTCTATTAACATGTCAGATTTCTTATCTTGGGACACTGATCTTGATCTAGAACTATTGCTAGGGGAATATACAGAATATGACCCAAGTGATAGTGACAGTAGTATAGATTTCGCTGTGCCTAGTCCTAAAAAGAAAAAAACTGCCAACCCAACGGCAAAGGTGTCAGACATTTTGTATCAATGTCCAGTATGTGACAAGCCACTGAAAACCATCTCAGGCTTTAGAGGGCATACCTCAAAACAGCATGGTCAACAAATTCGGGCCAGTGACTTTCGTGTTACAAAAGGTGTTTCAGCAACACAATCATCAACATCTACTAGTTGTGAATCTTCACAGGTGTCAAAAGATACTTTTAGTAAAACTTTTTATACAGCACTGCCAACATCACTATGTAATATTGCAAATGACCCATTTGTTGTTAATCCACACGAGATTAAAGATTTATGTCATCAACTAGAAAACAATACCTCTGCTAAGGAATGTTTACATCAGGTTATTTACACCATTTTTGAAGAGTCAAACTCTAAACTGACACAAAGCAATGATAGAGAAAACATTTTTCGAAAACTTCATAAGGTTCGTTCGGATGTGTCCTTAAGACAGAAGTTTTTAGACCATTTTCCAACATGTTCAGAGAATGTACTTTCAATATTTTTGCAATTGATTTTTGAAGACATTATTGGTGAAATTATGGCTCAGATGACCAAGGTGCAAAAAGACAACTCAGAAAAAGAGCAATCACACCTTAGTAGTAATGATCAGTCTATTCTCTTCTATATAGCAGGATATATTGTGTATTCGCTGCGTAAAAGATTTTCTAGGTATAGTGCACATAAACTTGGTGTAATTTCAAACTTTACCATGACATCAGACAGTCAAAATTTTGTTACCCAATATAGCAAATGGTACAATATACAAGATCGTGGTGGTCTCCAAAAGCCATGTGACACTTTGTTTCTGCTAGTACGTGAGATGGAACTTATTGTACGCAAGTCTACTAGCTCAGTCTTAAGTGCAAATTCACTCTTAACTGAACCCTTGATGGAAAATATTATGGAAGGTTTCATGATCAAATACTATTGTAACATTCTAATGGCAAATGAAGAGGGTTCAATTGTTTCAGCTGTAACAGAAGACATTATCCGTTTATTTCTAAGGATACGTGGTTTTGCTGTTACCCGACTTGAGCGTAATAAGACAAGCATATCATCCAAGTCTACCAAAAAGTCATCCTCAAGTTTGAGACAGGCCTTGAAAGACATAACCAAAAACTAATTAGCAGTAGTTAAAAATAAACTGTAAACTGTAGACTGTAGTGCTTTTACATGTATCAGGGAATTTTCTGGATTTTTATTTAAAGTCGTCTCCCCTGATCATTATATTTCAGTGTATTGATGTTCTTGTTATTTAAAGAATCTTCTCAAAGTACATTTCAGTGCTGCTATAAACTGTGTATCCTTGAATTGTTGATTTTGTGCTCATATCTACCTGATTATTTATATTAAAAGAATTAAAGTATTTATGTGGTTTTTTTTTATATACAGCTAAGACCATGACTATCAATTTTTGAATTGAGCTATAAGGTGTTTCATCATTGGTAAACAATATACTTGTGTATTCTGTATAGAATGAGTATAGATAATGCTTTAGTTGTTGTTGTTGAGAACAGTTGGTCAAATTTGATTTTGTTAATTGTTTGGCAAGTTTGGTCTTTTACAGTAACCTATATACAGTATTGGTTTTGCTCATTGTTGACAGCTATACAGTAACCTTCAAATTCAGTTGTGTACATTTACATCATTTAGTCTGGTAAATAAAGAGTTGTATTCTTGGCAATTACATCACATCTCCTGTTTTTACTTGTAGCAGGTTTAAGACTGTTTTGTGAAAAATAGGATTTATATTGTTCATATTCATCCTCCAGAGTCCTGCATGTACATGTACATGTGTCAGAAATATATACTAGAAACTTGTCATTGTTGTCACATAAAAGGCAGAAGTTGAAACTCAAAATAAAGCAATTTAGATTTAAATCTATTTATCTCAAACACGCAACATATATTACATATATACACAACACAAATTACACACACAAAATCAGTAAATCAAGATATATTTAATAGATATATGTCCAAAGTATATGTACAAATAAAATCATATTATTATTATCCTCGCTAGTACTAATTACATTTTTTGTGTGAACATTTTTTCATTTTGATTAGCTGCTAAAAATAATCCTAAAAATAGCTGTTGAAATGACTTAATAAATATTTCCATTTTAATACGAATCAATTTGTTTTTTACAACCAATTTTACTATAAAAAAATTATTTCTATGAAAAACATGTTTTATAAAAATTGTGTCCAGAAGTAGAACTTTATACAATATGTACACTATACAAGATAAGATAAGATTTATTTTATTAAAGTGTCTAACTTTGAATTGTCCATTGTATCTATATATATATATATATATATACAAGTCTAAATTGAAAACTACGTTCAAACCTATGATTGCTTTGGATAAAAACCGCTATTTTTATACGTGTGCATGTAAAACAAATTTCGTTTTAGAAGGGTCTAAATACAGCACAAACAACATTTTCCAGAAGACCAAAAAAGTGAAAAAGTATATTTTAACAAAACGCATTTGACTAACAGGTCGAACAACTGATGTTCTTAAACCCTGCTGACTGCCACTGGCGATTGCCAAATAAATTGATCACAAAATGTAACAAAATGGATCTTAATATTAATTAAATACTAAACAGAAAACAATTAATATATATATACACATAAATTCATAAGAACCTACATGTATATTTAGGGACAAAAGTAAAGTTTTCCTATATTGGCACACTTCATATACATGTATATATCATAAATAATGAAATATTAGTAAACAAGAATTTAAAAGATCCACATCCAGAATATTGTATTTACTTTGAACTTTCATGTACTTTTAGCAATTCTTCATGAATACTGGTAAAATATGGGGAAACATTAAAATCTAAATTAAAACTATTCATAACTTTTTGAAGTTTGAAAAGAATTGCAATCATGACATTGTTACTAATGTACAACTAAAGCTTATCTCTTGGGTAACTTTGAATCGTCAATTACAAAACGGTTTTCGTCATTCTCTCGGTGGATATTCCCTCTCTTCGGAGCTAAAGCAACTGCTCCTACTGCACGCATTTGGTTCATCATGTGTCGAACCTCATACACTGTTGGGTTACTGTTGTCACCAACTCTATGACGGTAATGTCCAAACTCCTGTTCAAGAGGATCCTGATTAAAAGAGTGAGTGAGAACAAACTTAGCACCACTGTTTAATAAAAATTTCACACTTGCAACAATCGAATGCACACTTATTTTCAGTCCAGTAATAGTCTGATGACTAAGCAGCATCCCCTTCCGGTCTTTCAAAGTGAAATTTCCTACACGATTCATGACGGCTTGCTCCCATTCACTGAAGTAGTTCAGGAAATCCTCTTTTAACCACCTCAGTCTTTCATCATTTGAAGAATTGTAGGGATTCAAATCCGGATTTCGTTTGTTACGACCTTCGTACAGGCTTCGCACATTCAAACAGTCAAAAAACCGGTTCATAACCCTTATAAAGTTCACTGTCTCTGTGACATTGTCTCCATATATCATTTCCAATGCATTAGCTACAGTTGAACTCAAGACCTGTGCAGCAAAATTCACCTTCATGCACCCAAATGTTGACATGTCGATATGTTTTCTTGTTAATTTGGGACATGGGCTGTATAATGACAGTTCGCAATGCTGTTCGAATAAATTAAGCAAATGAAGCCAAGAAATGTCTTTACCGTCTTTCCACATTTTTCGAGTATTTTTATGAGAGAATGAATTGCAAAAACAGTTGCGTGTGGTTTTAATAAGATGGGGTACGTCCGAAATAAAATATATAACTCTGTTGTCAGATGAGTACGGGTTATCTGCATAGTGTACAAAGTCATTGTCCTCTCCGTGAAGTTTAAAAAATCTCCTGTTTGATGACGCACCGTCGCAAGTAATGAATAAAACCCTTAGGTCAACAAGGCTGGTCTCTAGAATGCGTACTGCCTTCCAAATAATGGGGTACAAAAAATCTGCTGTTATGCTAGTTGTCGGAAAACCGGCCAATGGGAACCGTAGGTCGCAAGTTACACCCCTTACCATTACAACAAGCATGTACTTGGCTATGTCTGAGTGTTCAGTTCCTTTAATACTCTTATCAAGTTCCATCATCTGGTTACCAACTTTGTCTAAATTACAGTATCCTATTAATTCACCACTGTATTTGTCATATACCAATTCTGATTTAACCTGAATTTCATCAAATAGTATTCCAACGTACTTTCGCCATGGCTCATCATTGTTATACATGCCCTTCTTTTCTGCCTCAGATTTCAATATATTTAAAACATCTGGTTGATAACCATTACCTGAAGAAAAAAAAATCTTTCAGTAAACCTACATTATAAACAGTCTTTAGTAATAAAAGGAAAAGTACATGTGACCTACATTTTAACGTATTTAACCACTAGTCGATGCCCCAGACTGGTAAATATTGATTTGGACTAGTGAAATTTTTCAAAATTTTGTATAGTCATAAATTGACAAGTTTTGATACTTTGTTTCCAGACTAGTAGATGTTGAAGTTTTTGGCACAGACTGCAAGAGAGGTAAAAATGGTAAATATCAGAACAAGACAGCAACCTAACAAATAGATTGACAAAAAAAACAATACAAATCCTTCAACAACAGACAAATGTTCATACAATGCGCCACAACTCACCAGTATTTAATTTCATTTCTAACGGCATTCATAAAAACGCTATAGGATAATCATGATATATATATAATGTCAAAAATAAGTGAATTGATTTATTTCTGTAGGTGAAATTGCAATTAAATTCAATCAGGTTTTGCTCAAATAAAAATAACCCAACAAAAATACATACAATTTAACCTAGCCTAATTATAAGGGTGTCTTTTAAATGAAGTCTTGGAACTTGTACAAAAATGTACATGTATGTGTTAACTGAAATTCAAATGTATAAACATTTTGACATTGAATGACCTATAATGACTATAATGTATTTTGTGCTGTTTAGGGGGCTCACAAACATGTTTAACCCCATCACATTGTGCATGTGCCTGTCACACGTTAGGAGACTACATTCTAGTTCAATTGTTGTCTTTGGTCATACGTGTTCCTGTCTTATATATTTGGTTAAAAGAATGATAAAGTACAAAAACAAAATGTAGGCTGTTAACTTTCTTCAGTCTTAATATTTGGGCCTTTAATTTCAAGCCAACTACATGTACATGTATCATGACTATATTGTTTGGGTTTTTCTCATTGATGAAGGCCATAACGTTACCTGTAATGGCTTGTATACATGTATTCAATAAAGCAATTTATAACTCATTATCATAATCATGATACATGTATATAATAACCATTTCTTTTCATTTTTAAGGGGATGCATTATTATCTATAGCTATTTTTTTATATATATATTTTAGGACTAAATTCTTAATTTGACTTTTTGTTCCATTTATTATCTGTTCGATTGACCCTATACATTGTAGAGGCAGGACCCCCAACATATCTGTACATGTCTAATAAATATATGCGTAACTGACTTACCACATTTAGTGTAGTGAGAGTAATCAAACAAAGTCCTGGCACTTGGTAAAGTGATAAACCCAGAGTCTCTCAAAGCATCATATGCAGCACTGGACTTCTGTCGAAGATACAAGCACCATCTAATTATCATGGGATGCCATCTCATTCCTTTAGCTGATTTCACGTTAACACTTTTAAATTGTTCACTCCAAAAAAGTCTTTGAAAGCAATTGGAATCTGGGAAGGCTTTCTCCATTTCGGTTGAACATAAAGCCATAGCATCTCTCATCTCAATGGACTGACATGCACTTAGAGTCACACCACTTCCTGATAAATCCCGTTGAAACTGTCTTTGAGTTTGGGCAATCTGGTTTTGCAAACTGGTGATGACATTTCTCTGCTGTGAAATTTTACCAATGAGCTCATCTCGTGACATGTTGCAATGCTTATAGTTCCTTGAAATGTAATTTGGAGTGCTGCCATCAGAAAACCTTTTTTTTTCTTCAAGTCTGTGTTTTCTGCTTATAAGAATGCGTCGTAGACGAGTACATGGTGAGCATCTGTTTCCTTGCACTAGTAACAAACAACTGACATTGCGAACTGTTGAAGAGTAATTAACAGTCCCTTTAACTGCACCAAAATCTTGTTCTTTAAAACCTCGACAACTCTGTGCATCTGTTGCATGCTCTATGGTGCTCCCAACTGGAGTAATATCTAGAAACTCTTGCTCGTGGTTTCCACTACAAACAGTATAACTCCTTAATTTAGATAATAGTCTCTCAATGCTTGTTATGTTGTCATACACACTTGGCAATCCTAACCAGATGTCATGTTCTCTACTTAGTTCGATGCCGTGAACATATACCTTAGCTGAAAAATCTCTGTTGATTATGATATTTAATTTAACATACACACTTTTCGATGACGGATAATGTTCTATAATTTGCAAGTTGTCACTGGCAGCAGAATTATACACATACGGAGAAGTTAGACTAGTACAAACAGTCTTTTTCAATGCCTCGTAAGGGTCTTCTGAAACTACATGTATTACACACTCTTCTTGGCATTCAAGTTCAATATGTTGATCAATAACCACATCAATTTCTTCATCTAAACAAAGTTCTGCCACTGTCTGGTTATCAGACAAATATGAATGATCCAAAGAGACTGAATCCACACTGGTGCATATAAGCTCTTCTGTTTCAGATGGCAAAAGATCTTCATCATGTGCAAGGTCTGGCGGAATTGCATGTATTTCAGTTTGCCCTTTGTCTAATTTTAATTTGCCAGTTCCACGTCTTTTCCTGTGATATGGCACATTCTGCCTTTTCTTCCTTTTAGGCATTCTATAAAATAATGAAGACAGAAATTAATAAACAGCTGGAAAACCCTTTTTTTTTAATGAATAAAACCACCACAACTCGGAAACGTCGAATCTAAAATTTATAAAAAACAAAAGGGAGCTCACGTCAATAGATATAAACAATTCACCAAAGTGTAATCTAAATTGGTTAAAGCATTTTTTGAGTCAATGTCCGACATGTTGACAACGGACAACGTTATACCAAAAATTAATACGGGCATATAAAAACTATTTGTATTATTTAAATTATAATTTTTGCAAGCATGACATTTTAACATGACAATGAATGTTAAGATTTATTGATAATTTCACTTAAATCATTTGATTAAAGCAAACAATTAGTTACCACTAACAATGACCAAAACATGTACATGTGAACCTGGAATAATATTTCATATCAAATCATATTTTATAACAAATTCAGTGTGTCACACAGTGTGTTAACTTTGACATGTATGCCAAATGCTTGTTTCAAAATGATTTTAGCAAGTGCTGGTACAAAAAAATGTACATTGATACTTTGGAATTGAAGTTGAACTGATATTGTGATCACCTGCTTCTGAAGTGTCTGAGTATTGCATATGAATGTTAAGTCTGTAGATGTTGTTTTAAACATTGATATTTCCAGCTCCTGTAATTATCACTTTATTACATTGTATGTTGACCTTGACACTTCAGAGAAGCTGCATGCTAAAACCTATTATGCAACCCCGACCGCACTGATAATTGTTTCTTATCATGATTTTTTTTTTACACTTTTGATATATCAGGGATTTTCAATTTGGTACATTCATCATAAATTATTAATTAATAATATTACTATTTATATTTGGTCGTGCAACTTGAACATCATGCGCTTAAACATGTACATTTCACTTCACAATGTTTTATACAAACATAATTTTTTCAATCCCTAATGACCACTGTAACTTTTATTTATTAAGTATGTTTTATAGATTAGACTGTTGGTTTTCCCGTTTGAATGGTTTTACACTAGTAACTTTTGGGGACCTTTATAATAAAGCTTGCTGTTCGGTGTGAGCCAAGGCTCCGTGTTGAAGGCCGTACCTTGACCTATAATGGTTTACTTTTATAAATTGTTACTTGGATGGAGAGTTGTCTCATTGGCACTCATACAACATCTTCCTATATCTATTTGATAAATAATCTTGGCTTTAGCATATATTTAAAAAGATTATATAAAACCATACCTGAATATTTAATACTTCTTAGTCAATGGCAAGGCAATCAGTTTAGTAAAATTGGTCAATGAAAACACCTGAGAACCTGTAAAAAAACAAATGGAAACATTGAGGAGTACATAAAATACAAAGGGTTTAATTTCATGATTAAAAATTACCATGGAAAAAAATCCAACTTAATTTACATAATCAATTAAAATGTATCATTTCAATCTTGTTTTGAATAAATTTGATAGTAAGAATGGTTTAGTTAGCTTTCAATTAATACATGTTGAAATTGATTTATCAAAATGATTTTAGAATATTATCCTCGTCTTGTTTGTTGCTCTAATACCAGAGCCATGAAACCAGACTTTGTATTGAGTATCTGAAATTTGCATGAATCATGCCTTCAATTCGTGGCTATGCACATGACCCGATTTCAGGTTTTTCATGTTGCACTCATGTGCAATTTCCCCCTAATTTTTTTTAGAAGACAGCTTTTTATTATATTAAAATTACATTATAAACTATAGAAAATTCTGATTCCATTGACATTTGTTTAATACTAAAAAATTGCTTTGCGTAGACAACTGAGACAGAACAGTGGCGGATCTAGACAGGGGGTTCCGGGGGTTGGAATCCCCTTTTTTTGGACGATCAATATATTTGAATGGGGAACATATAGTTGGAACCCCCCTTTATCCTGGGTTGGAAACCCACCCTTTTTTAAAATGGCTGGATACTCCCCTGACAACTGAGACAGAAGTATAAGACAAATCATAAAATATGTATGCTTTTCTGCCATATAGGAGGCTTAATTTTGCTCAGCATGCTCAAAAACATGCAAGGAACAGAAGACCTTTAAAGTAATTTTTGTTTACTCTTCCAATATTGACTCTTGAGCTGCAAATTAACTGCATTGCCTTGGTTCACAGTCATTTTGAGAAAGAAAAAATGAAAATTAATTTAAGCAAAGAAAGGTTCAATATCTAATTAACTCTCCAATGTAGGAAGCTCATTTTTTCTCTGCAAGTGTAAATATATCTATTGAATGGAAAAAAAATACTTTAATGCATTTTTCTTCAACGTGCATTAACCATATACCTGCAAACTAGCAGCTCTGATCTGATAGATAGATATAATGAAACAAAATAGAGCTGTTAAAAATTAGTTCATTTTGAAGCTCAATATCTAATCAAATTCTCAACATAGGAAGCTTAAATTTTATATGCAAGTGTAAAAATGTCTAAGAAATGGAAAAAAATAATGCAATATGTGATTGTGTAGCATATATTCAACAATATAGCTGCAAAATAGCATCTCTGCTCTGATTGGTAAACATTTTGACCAAAAAAATGGAGGGGGAGAAATAACTTCAATATTTGACTAACCTCTCAACAAAAGAAGTTGGAACTTGCTATGCAAACGTAAAAATATAAAAGGAAAAGAACTCGTTTAATTTAGAGCGTCTTTTACACCAAAAACGAAAATTTAGCTGCAAAAATACAAGGCCATTCTCCATGTAAGTAGCCATTTTGTTTACCGAAAAGGGCTGTTTTATATGTTATATTACACGTGAAATACACAACAAAAGACACTCTGTTTTCATATGCAAACGTAAATGGTATCTAAAACTTGTAATCAAATACTTTTGTAGAAGTAAATGCAATAAAATTTAATGATTTCAATGCAACATGACAGGGTCATGCAACTCGGACCCAGCATCGTGGACAGCATCTGGCATCCAAACTGTTGATCACTTATTATGATGTTTATAAGTGTCTTATGATGTTTTCGTAGGAAAATATCATTAAATACCATAAAATAACTTCTACTTAATCAGTTTTTAATTATTCATATAATGTTTTTATACTTACAAATTGATGTAGAAATCTCGAAGCGGCACTTCCCGCTGAAGCTTTCTGCAAGATCTCGTGATTTCTCGTAGCACGCGGTATTTCTCGGATGCTATCAAGGCGGTATAGGGACTTTCCTATCCTTCTAATATACGTCCTTGGTTAATTCAAGACGTCATAATTTTTTGGATTACGATTCAATGTGATCTGTTTGAGATTTTTTGGTGATTGCTACAGTTATAATGATTTCTTACAAGAGGTATATCATACTGAGAATTATTTTAGCACTAATTATGCTAATGTACATGTAGTAATGACAGGAATGCATAAGCTATGCCTCATAGACTTTCTTGAAAAATATCAATGACAATGTTCACAGGAACAAAACAATGACATGCTCTCATCAATATTATAGTTATTTAGGTACAAACAATGTACGTTTGTTGCATAAGTCTCTCATTGTTTGTCCTTTGGATTTACATAACATACATTGAATCAGGCAAACATAGTTTTATCCTGATTGTAATGAATAAATCTAGTTAATATTTCGCCAGGTAATACAAAGTATACATTGCTAATGGAAGTTCATTTAATTATCAAAAAACTAATGTTTTATAACCTTTTTCAGGGCGCAAACTAGTCCGAGATTACTCTGACGTCCAACGGCTGTTTTGCCAGACAAGCTGGGGCCGTGGGACGTCAGAGCTCGTCCCATATCAAAAAGTGGATATTTGCCCGTCCAAAATAGATGCGCTGCTTCGTCGCTTCTGGTGCAAACGGACGGCCTTGGAATTATATAAATCGGGTATCAATTTGTTCATTTTTCATTTATCTCTTCATTTATGTAAGTTTCACCTACCTGCCACCCTTTATTTTCTCATATTTAGACAGTTTTCACAGTGACCCACCGATTCTGGCATTTTGACTTTCATTTTGAAAGATTGTCATGTGATCACGAGAAAAAAGTAAGGCACAATGGACTATGGGAAATGATGTATGCATATGAATCTAGGTCAATATGAATATATAATCTAACACCTCGCTCATTTACGATGCAAGCAATGTAAATATCCGAGAGCTTCCGAATGTTATCGTGGTTGGCACTAAATGCTTAATACCGATCTCCTGTAAAGGAGGTGAAAAATCGTGGTTGGCTACTAAATGTTAAATATCGATCTCCTATAAAGGAGGTGAAAAAAGTATAAATATTTGCATATTTGAGTCTCGAGGTCGCAAAATCTCTCGTAACATTTGAAAATAAAAGTAAAAATGTCTGAATCGATGGGTCACTGTGAAAACTGTCTAAATATGAGAAAATCAAGGGTGGCAGGTAGGTGAAACTTACATAAATGAAGAGATAAATGAAAAATGAACAAATTGATACCCGATTTATATAATTCCAAGGCCGTCCGTTGGCACCAGAAGCGACGAAGCAGCGCATCTATTTTGGACGGGCAAATATCCACTTTTTGATATGGGACGAGCTCTGACGTCCCACGGCCCCAGCTTGTCTGGCAAAACAGCCGTTGGACGTCAGAGTAATCTCGGACTAGGCGCAAACCCACCATACAGAGACCTAAGTCTACTGCCATTCCCAGCCTATTTTCCTGGACCAAGCAAGAGACTGAATCGTCCGCAAAAAGAAAAATCAGGGCAGTTTCCTGTGAAAACAAAAGAACTAAACTTGATGAATATTGTAGTAGAAATCTAGAGGAAAGTTTTGATTGTAAAGTTGGTTTTCCTGAAGAAGTCATTCATACTGCAGAAAGGATTTATGACTGTCCACCACCAACTGCTGAGCTAATGTTGAGCTTCAAAGATGGAATTACGCAAACACCATCAATGTTTTCAGCAGAGAATTTTGAAATGAAGACACGTGACACAGCCATGCATTTTTATACCAGTTTAGAGTTGTATACTAAATTTTTATTTGGTTTGACCACACTTGGTCCAACAGCACATTGTTTGAGATACATATATTTTCAAATTGATAGGGTGTCAGTTGAAAATCAGTTTTTTTATGACTTTGATGAAATTGAGGCATTATACAACCAACTTTGAACTTTCTAGATTCTAGATTGAATCTAGTATTAAGAATATTGTGTATATACATGGATTGTTTTTATGCCTAAACAGTGGTGTGAGGCTAACACTTGGCCATCTAGTGGTTTAGTCAGGCATTTTTCGCCATCCAACTTAAAGTTTCCTACGACTTGGATTATTATTGACAGCACAGAATATCCCGTGATAAAACTAAAGCTCCTAGAGCTCAGGCAACCTTTTCATCATATAAAAGCAGAAACACTGAAAATACTTGTATGTTCTACGCCTGGTGGTTTAGTCAACTATGTCTCTACTGCATATGTTGGTTCTACCAGTGACTATGAAATAGTTGAAAGATGTAGAATACAAAATGTAGTTCAGTTATGTGATCCAGGTGACAGTGTGATGGCAGACAAAGGTTTAAATGTGCAAGATTTGTTTGCTAATTTTTTTCAAAAAAAGAAACAGAATTAGTTCCAAAACTCTTATACGGGATAGAAAAGTCTCCAATTAACATGTGCACATAGAGCGAATTATTGGACTTGGCAAAACATACAAAATTCTAACAAATCCTATGAATGGAACTGAAACAAAACTTTCATCTGAAATAACATTTAGTTGTTTTATGTTGTGTAATTTTAAAACTTGTATTGTGCCAAAGGATGCAGAAATAAAAGTGACGCAATGAATTTTGTTCTGATACATGTATATATATATTTATAATTACATGCACATGTAAATTGTAATGCATATAAAAATAAGGAGATGTGGTATGATATTCAGTGAGTTTATCGAACTAAAGTGCATCAGAAATGGGTTTAAGCAGTTACAGGTGTTACTGTCACCGTACAATCTCCAACAATGAAGAAAACTTGTACCGTGTAAAAAATTTCAGAGATCTTACCACTAAGTTTTGTTGTCTCACCTTGACTTTGGTGAATTGTTTATATCTGTTGATGTAAATATAAAAAAGAAGATGTGGTATGATTGCCAATGAGATAACTCTCACAAGAGACCAAATGACACAGAAATTAACAGCTATAGGTCACAGTATGGCCTTCAACAATGAGCAAAGCCCATACCGCATAGTCAGCTATAAAAGGCCCGAAATGACAATGTAAAACAATTCAAACAAGAAAACTAACGGCCTAATTTATGTACAAAAAATGAACGAATATAACAAATATGCAACACATAAACAAACGACAACCACTGAATTACAGGCTCCTGACTTGGGACAGGAACATACATGTACATACAGAATGTGTCGGGGTTAAACATGTTAGCGGGATCCCAACCTTCCCCCTAACCTGGGACAGTGGTGTAACAGTACAATATAAGAACGAACTATAAAAATCAGTTGAAAGAGGCTTAACTCATCAGATGGTTAAATACAAATACAAGTGGATGTGGTCGGGTAGTTGTACATCCAAACAAGAAAAAGACAGAAAGTACAGATCTGAGAGTACTTGCAGTTACTTACAGCTAGTTCAAAGCCACTAACAACTGATATAAAAATCTTGCATCTAAGACTAAATTATCAATCCGTAAGCTCCCTTTAGAATTTTATAAATTTTAGATTTTACATTTCTGAGTTATGGTGTTTTATTGGGATTTTCCAGTTTTTGTCGAGCCTGCGACTTTTGTCGCAGAAAGCTCGACATAGGGATAGTGATGTGGCGGCGGCGGCGTTAGCTTACTTCTTAAAAGCTTTATATTTTAGAAGGTGGAAGACCTGGATGCTTCATACTTTGTATATGGATGCCTCATGTTACGAAGTTTCCGTCAGCCACATGTCCAATGTCCTTGACCTCATTTTCATAGTTCAGTGACTACTTGAAAAAAAAGTTAACATTTTTTGTAATGTTAAATTCTCTCTTATTATAAGTAGTAGGATAACTATGTTTGGTATGTGCGACCTTGCAAGGTCCTCATGCCCGTCAGACAGTTTTCACTTGACCTCGACCTCATTTCATGGATCAGTGAACAAGGTTAAGTTTTGGTGGTCAAGTCCATATCTCAGATACTATAAGCAATAGGTCAAGTATATTCGGTGTATGGAAGGACTGTAAAGTGTACATGTCCAACTGGCAGGTGTCATCTGACCTTGACCTCATTTTCATGGTTCAGTAGTTATAGTTAAGTTTTTGTGTTTTGGTCTGTTTTTCTTATACTGTATGCAATAGGTCTACTATATTTGGTGTATGGAATGATTGTAAGATGTACATGTCTAGCTGGCAGGTGTCATTTGACCGTGACCTCATTTTCATGGTTCAGTGGTCAAAGTTAAGATTTTGAGTTTTGGTCTTTCTTTCTAATACTATACATGCTATATGCAATAGGTCAACTATATTTGGTGTATGGAAATATTTTATGATCTTTAAGTCAGTCGCGCAGGTTTTATTTGACCTTGACCTCATTTTCACAGTTCATTGCTCTGTTAAGTTTTTATTCGCCCGTTTACGGGACGTATTATGGTATACCGTTGTCCGTCTGTCAGTCCGTCGTCAACATGTCGGACATTAACTCAAAAATGCTTTTACCAATTTGCATAAAACTTTGGTGAATTGTTTATATCTATTGACGTGAGCTCCCTTTCATTTTTTATAAAATTTAGAATTTACGTTTCCGAGTTATGGGGTTTTATTCATTAAAAAAAGGGGGATTTTCCAGTTTTCGGACAATAAGTCAAGAACGCTTTCACCAACTTGCAAGAAATTGTGGTGAATTGTTTATATCTATTGACATGAGCTCCCTTTCGATTTTTATAAATTTTAGATTTTACGTTTCCGAGTTACAGGGTTTTATTCATAAAAAAAGGGGGGATTTTCCAGTTTTCGGACAAAAACTCTAAAATGCTTACAGCAATTCTTATGAAACTTTGGTGAATTGTTTGTATGTATTGATGTAAGCTCCCTTTAGAATTTTATAAATTTTACATTTTACATTTCTGAGTTATGGGGTTTTATTCATTAAAAAAAGGGGTGTTTTCCATTTTTCGAACAATAACTCAAATATGCTGTCACCAATTCTCATGAAACTTTGGTGAATTGTTTATATCTATTGTTGTAAGCTCCCTTTTTATTTCATAAATTTCTAATATGACATTGAGAAT